AATTCAGATTGCCCCTGTCTGAAATTCAGATTGCCCCCTTCCCCGTTAACTCGGGCGAGGCGTTCTGCCTGAGGCTACTGCGCATGAATTATCCAGATTGGCCCGGTCTGAAATTCAGATTGGCTCGGTCTGAAATTCAGATTGGCCTGGTCTGAATTTCAGGTTGCCCTGGTCTGAGTTTCAGATGCGGTGGCTCCGCGTGGAAGAACTCTTCGGTTCTGTCGGGGTAGCTGGCGCTCGAAGTCCCGGTGTTCCCTTGGGCGTGGCGCGATCAGCAGATGCGAAAAATGATAAGTCGATGTTTCATGTTTGGGGGTGCACTGCGATGGCCGCGCAGTCAGTCGAGGGCCGCGGCGCGGATGGCCCGGGGATGTTGGAGGAAGGTTGTGGGTCATGGGCCCGCGGGTTGACTTCGGTGCTGGGCCGGCTTGTGGCCTCCTCCGCTTTGACTCGGGACCAGATGCTCCCCGCGGGTGCGCGGTCTTGGGCCGGTTCGACGTCGGACCGCGGGCGGCGAAGAGGCGCGGCGGTCGTTGATGTGCCTGGCGGGTGGTCAGCGCAGCGACGAGGAGTTTGAGTTTTTGTTCGGGCCTTCGGCCCTCGCTCGTTTCCTCCTCCTCCTCCTCCTCCTCCTCCACATCCTCCTTCTCCTCCTCCTCCTCCTCCTCCTCCTCCTCCTCCTCCTCCTCCTCCTCCTCCCCTTCGTCCTGTTTCGCGTTCGGAGCCGGCGCGCGCCACCGGCGAATGTCATCCGCAGGGTCGCGGAGGTTTCGAGACCACTGCCGTGGGCGCAACAGACGTGCCCGTGCTGCGGGGACAGGGTCGCCCGATCGGCTCGGTCCTGGCATGGCTCGCGTGCGAGTCTGGCAGGGATTGATCAGAAGCATCGCGTGTTCTGTCTTCCGAATCCTTGGGCCGAGTGCGACTGCCGTCGGGCGGGCGTCGCTCTCGCATTCGGGGCGCGCTCCAGATGTCCGCGCGCGGTTCGCGGCGGAGGCCCCCGCTTTTCCAGGCGCGCCGGCGGGCCAGGGATAGCCCCGTGACACAAGCACATACAAACACACACGACATCACCATCATCTTGAACCATGTCGTACGCGTGTCATCTAGAGGCCTTGGGCCACCCTGCCGCCGCGCCTGGGTCGCGGGCCATGGGCATTTCGGGATTTCCCTCGGCTCTCTCGCAAGGGGCCGGGGGGCGCGCCGCGGGCTCCCATGGGCCGTTCGCCGGGCCCCTATGGGGTAGGCAGCAAAGACCGCAAGGGGTCTATCGCAAGGGCTCCAACATTGGCCGACGCTGCCCCGCCGAGCTCCACGAGGGCCCCGATATCCACTCCACCCCAGATGAACCCCTCGAAAGGGCGCCGATGTGCCCCCCGTTGGAACGCGAGATGCCTCCGAAAGGCCCCCCCCACAAGGCCCCAGCGCAGCCCCGAGAGTCCGACAAGTGGCCCCCGCAATCACAGAACCACCAGGGTGTCATGATTATCCTCCTTACTTCCTGCCTTTTCCGGCCTCCCCCACCGCCCCCCTTGCTTTTCATGCCGCCCCCGCCCTCCTCGTGCATACCCCCTCCTTCGAGTCGCCCTCGCCCTCCTCTGCCCGAGCGTCGCCCGCCTCGCCTGCCTCCCCTCGCCGGCATGTTTCCATCGGTGGCCCATGAAGCATCCATTCATTCCCAGCGTTGCTCGAGGGTCTCGATGTGCGTGCGCCAAACGGTCAGTCATTGCGCCGTGGATGTGCGAGTCACGCGGTGCAAGCAAAGCTGCGCGAGGCATGCTGCGGAATACGTGAGGCGGAACATAAGCGATTGCTGAGTGGCGCAAGTTATTCGACGCAGATTTCGGGGCCCAAGGCGCGCGGTACAACCGGCGCGGCGCAACTTTCGCGGCGCAAGTTTTGTTGCCCATGCCTTGCGTTGCCAGCTGTGCGATGCAAGCTATGTTGTGCAAGCATCATGGTGCTACTGTGTGGTGCAAGCTAGGTGGCGTACGTTATGTTGTGCGTGTTGTGTGGCGCAGGGCATGCTTTCCAAGCTATGTGGCGCGGCATCTTGCACGTACGTGGTGCAAACTGAACGTCCCTCCTCCTGCCTCTCTCTCTCTCTCTCTCCTTTCCCTCCCCCACGTCCCTCCACGTCTCTCCTCTCCCTCCTCCTGCCTCTCTCTTTCTCCTGTCCTCGTCCTCCTCGTCCTCTCCTTCTGTCCCTCCTCTCCTTCGTTTTTGCGTTCGTCCTCTTTTTCCCCTCGCCGTCCACTCTTTTTGCCGTTTTCCTTTTTTTTTCCTTGACCTTGGGCTATCTTGCGCCACATTTGAACCACCTTGGTACATTTCAGGGCCCTCTCGGGGCACTCGAGATTGGTGAACCATCTGAGTGGCTTCTCAGGGCGGGGGTTGTGCGTTGATGCGCCCGTCCCTCCACCCCCCAAAGAAAGGGATTCAGGCACACATTTCACGCGCCCTGCCCATCCCGGTAAGTGGGGGGCGGCGGATCTTTTGAGCGTGCCCATACCGTTTGTTTGCCTGGCTGTCTGTTTGCCTGCTTGCCCGTCTACCTCTTTTCGCCCACGTGTGCATATGTATCTGTCTGCCTGTCTGTCTGCATGTGCGCCTGGTTCCATGCCTGTACGCCTGTATCTGCCTGCCTTTCCGTTTGCGCTTTCTGCCTGTTTTTTGCTGTCTTTTTTCTTCTTGTTTTGTTATCTCTCTCTCTCTATCTCTCTCTCCCATTCTCTTTCTGCCCATCCTTGTCCGTCCGTCTGTTCGTCTCCCAATTTCTTTGATTATCCTTCCCTCTTTCTTCTTTTCACCCCCCGCCCCTTCACACTGTCTCCTCTTCGCCGCCGGTGTGCGAAGTCCAACAGGAAGCGCTGCATCATGGACAGTTGCTGATGCACAACGTGTCATTCTACCCTACCCTGTGAAAGTCTCTATCCATCCCGATGGGAAGCTGGGCCCCGCAATGCTCATTACTTGACCTTGCCCTATCGGTTTCATTCGCCGATGCCCCTTCCGCGAGAATGAGCACAAAGTGGTGGAGATCTCACCTAAAGGACGTTTCGAAAGGCTCAACAAGAAGGCTTGCAACGTTCCTGTCTTGAATTTGAAGGGGGAAGGATGAACGTGCGACGCAGCAAGGACAGGGGAGGACGGAGCAGGATGAGGATGAGACGGAGGAGGACGAGGGAGGGAGGGGGAGGTTAGCATCATGGCCTTGCTGCTGTTGCGAAGGGGCGCCTGTGTGGACACAGCAGATTTGGTTAGCCGGCATTGTGTGGACGGCTTTGCATAGAAGCTGATCTCCTGAGCTCCAGTACAATTATAGTTGTGCGCGTGCTTGTGAGCGAGTCGAACTGGCAGTAGCAGGCTTTGTTCATGAGCTCATAATTCGTTGCTGCTCCCTAGAGTCGGTGTTCTTCAACGTCGAGTCGTTCGCGTGGACAAGGGCTTCGAACTTGGATCCTTTGCGCATCGCTTGCCTCGCGAGGCCAATGCTCCGCGTGAGGCCACGGGCCTTGCCCTTCGACCTTCGCCCTGTCAGGGTTTTATAATTCATCAGGCGGGAGTGAGGCCGAGCCGATTCGCTTCGGACCGGAGCTCGCGCGCGCGTCCCTCTGGCGTGAAGAGCAGAGCCCGAGGTGACGTCGGATGCGCTCGCGGGATCCGTCTCTGCCCCTGGGCTCCGCAGAGGCGAGCTCGGGGTGGATGCGTCGCGCCGCCGGCGGAGCTCGCGCGCCGGAAGAGCTGCCCGCCGGATCCCCGACGGGGGGAATCTTCAAGCATGCTTTCAAGACAAGTCTGGGAGCTGTTGTTTGCATATCTGTGTTAGCAATTTGCGGGTTCTTGTGAGTATTTGTATTTGTCCCTCCAAAATTAGGAGGGGAGAAAACACACAGACACAATTAATCGTCGACTCCCCAGAAAATATGGCAAAATATGGGAAGTGGTGGGGAAGACAAAAACTCAGAAAATATGGGAAACTAGGGGGATTTGTTTTATTTGTGTGTATTTATTTGTGTGTCCTGGGGCCCCTTCACAAAAATCCGCCTGCAGGGGCCCGGCCCGGGGCGTGCGGCTTCGCTGTCGGGAGCCGACGGCCGATCTGCCAGGGCACCCGCCGAGGGCGCGAAGTTGTTCGCGCTTCGCGCTTCGCGCTTCGCGGCTCGGCTCCGATTCCCCCTCATCTCAGGAGGGAAAGAAGCACACAGACACAATTCATCGTCGACTCCCAAGAAAATATGGGCAAATATGGGAAGTGGGGGGGAAGACAGGAACCCAGAAACTATGGGAGACCATGGGGAATCGTTTTATTTGTGTGTATTTATTTGTGTGTCCCTGGGCCCCTTCACCATCCTCCTCTTCTCCCCTGGGAGGCGGCGCGAGCGCGCGAAGCTGTTCGCGCTTCGCGCAGCGTGGAGCGCGAAGCTGGGAGCCCTTGCCGCGCCAGTTCCTGCTCGGTGGTTCCCCCCCCTGAGCCGGTCTCCCCCTGACGCTCCCCCTCGAGCCCGTGAGGGTCCCGGGGGCCCGAGTTGGGGCGGTGCTGCCGGGCGGGTGCAGAAGACGTGCCAGGGCCGGTGGCAGTGCGACCTGGCACTGCTCGGGCAGGAGAGGCGTCACGGGCTTACAGCTGGCACCCATACATGCCCGGGCTCCAGGACCTCTCATTCGTTCGGGAGCCTCGAGACGGGGGTCAATGCAAACGGGGGTCAGCCAGGGCACCGGATCCTGCAGGATCCTGCGAAGACCCCCTCTGGCTGACCCGGTTTAGCAAGCCGCTCGTGGCCGCGAGGCGGCCGCGCCTATTGGCTGACCCGGGTTTGCGAAGACCTGCGTTGCATTTTTTTTTCTTGCATTGCAGTTTTTTGTTTCCCGCTGACGCGGGTCTGGATTAACCTGGGTCAGAAGATCCCCGATTCCTGTTTCTCAGGGGTCTCTTTCAGGCTTGCTCTCGCACACACCTGCCCGTGGGGCAACGAAGTAAGAGCGCGCGCCCACTGCAGCTGGGAGCCGGTGGCATGAAGACTGTGTACCTCGGTTACGACACCGACACTGGCAAGGATGGGATCTGGAAGGCTTGGCATCATGGTGCTAGGTTCAAGCAGTTGTAGACTCAGTTGGTAATTCACTTGAGCGACGAGATGCAGCGGGGTCGATTGAGTGGACATTCGCGGGTGAGCTGCCCAGGTAATGATGACCACACGTAGGTACCCTGTTTTCCACGTGTTATGTTTTCCATGCCATCGCGCGTAACAGGTCATTCGTCATCTTCGTTCTCTGGTTGAAACGGGAAGGTATCAGATACGGCACATTACAACACATGCACGCGCGTGTAAGTCTTACGCATGGTTGTGTTGTGCTGAAGTGACCAGTTGCTCATCGAGAATGCTAGGATGAGCGCTCGTAAGGAGGACGATGACGCCAGTGGAGGAGGAGGAGGAGGAGGAGGAGGAGGAGGAGGAGGAGGCGGAGGAGGCGATGGGGTGGGGCCGCGCGGAACGCGGCGGAGACGATGGGGCGGGGCAGGCAGGGCGCTCCTCCTCCTCCTCCTCCTCTCCTCTCCTCCTCCTCCTCCTCCCTCCTCCTCCTCCTCTTCCCCCTCCTCCTCCTCCTCCTCCTCCTCCTCCTCCTCCTCCTCGTCCTCCTCCTCCTCCTCCTCCGCCTCCTCCTCCTCCCTATCCTACCTATGGTGCGGCCCGCACCACCCGGGGGGTTCGTCGTCCCTGGCTGCCCTGTTAGTGGGGGCTGCTGAGGTCCGCCGGGGGGCCCCGCGGCACGGGGCGCCCCCTGTCTTGGCCGCTCTTCGGCCCGGGGGCGGCCCAGGCTCGACGCAAAAGGCTGCCCGGGGGCCAGGGGGTCCAGGGAGGAAAAAGGCACCCGGACCGGACAGTTGGCGTTTCCCAAACGGCCCTGGGCGTTTCCTCAGCAGCCCTGCCCTGCTCGATTCCTTCTTCTTGGGTGCCTTTGCTAAGCGGCCTCGCGTGTCGGGGTGGTTGCCATCGGGGTGGATCTTTCTGCCCTCTCCAGAGAGGGAGGGCGGGGGGCAGGGAGCGGAGGAGTCGGCAAGAACGGTGGCTTGGGGAGCGCAGCGGGGAGGGAGAGGGGGAGGGCGGAGGCGGGGTTCACAGGGGGAAGTGTGGTGCGGCGGGGCGGCGGGTGCACGGGGGGTGCGGCCGTGCGGTAGCAGTGCCCGCTGCCGTGGGAGACACGAGGAGCAAGATCGGCCATGGTCTGTCGCCGCGCAGAGACGGGACGGGAGGAGATCGCCTGGAGCGTGATCCCCCTCGCGGACCCGTGGCGGCTTGCTGATTGCCCGCAGATGCACTGAGGGCAGCGTCTCTCGAGGGTGCGATTGCACGCCATCCACCGTGCTCTTGCTTCTCTCTCTCTGCTTGTGTACGTGTGCTTGCCTCCCTGCCACCCGCCACCCCTTCTCATCTCTCTTTCTCCCTCTCTGACCTCACTCTCTTGGTTTGTTCTCTCTCTCCCTCTCTCTCCTTGCCATCTGCCATCCTCCTTCGGCCTCTCGCTGCCGGCTGTCCACTCGCCCCTTTTCCATGTCCCCTGTCTGGTGTCTCCGGTGCATGGCTTTGCCGATCGGGCCGGGGGGGTTTTCCTCCTCCTCCTCCTCCTCCAACTCTTCTTCCTGTTGGTCGTCTTCTGCCTCCTCCTCCTCCTCCTCCTCCTCCTCCTCCCTCTCATCCTCCAACTCTTCTTCCTCTTTGTCCCTCTTCTTCCTCCTCATCCTCCTCTTCTTCCTCCTCCTTCCTGTTCTTCCCCTGCCATATTTGCATCCAGCCTCTGCCTCGCTCCGTGTCTGGCCGGGCCGGCAGCTCCTGGACTCGGCCTCGCAGTTCTCCTTTGGTGCGGCCGAAGGGATCCCCGGCTGTTCCCGCAGAGACCACCCAGAGGAGGATGAGGAGGAGGAGGAGGAGGAGGAGGAGGAGGAGGCGGAGGAGGAGGAGGAGCAGCATGAGGATGAGGACCAGGAGGAGGAGGAGGAGGAGGAGAAGGAGGAGCAGGAGCAGCAGGAGGAGCAGGAGGAGCAGGAGGAGCAGGAGGAGCAGGAGCTTTCACCGACAACGGGGCACGCCAGATCAGAGACTGGTCTGCCAACGGGTGGCAGCGATCCTCCCTGACGCCCCGAGGGGCCCGCCGAGCCTGTGGAGCCCGGGGTCGCACGACGTCTGTGGATGGAAGGCGCGCAGCGCCGCGGCGGCGGCGCCTTGGAAGCCCCGCAGCGCTCTGTGCGCGTGGAGGACATGGGTCAGCACGCCGAGAAGAAGGAGAAGAAGACGATGATGATGATGCTGATGTTGAGTCTGATGACGATGATGATCATGCTGATGAGGATGAGGATGAGGGTAATGATGATATGCTGATCATGATGGTGATGATGCATGTGATGATCATGATGCTGATGCTGATGATGATGATGATGCTGATGCTGATGATGATGATGATGATGATGAGGATGCTGTTAATGCTGTTGACGATGATGATGCTGAGTGATGATGGTGGTGTTTGTGATCATGACAGAGATGACGTTGATGCTGATGACGATGATGATGCTGATGGTAATGATACTGATTCTGGTGATGATGATGCTTATGCTGCTGCTGATTGTTCTGGCAGCGATAGCGATGACGATGACGATGACGATTGTGGAGACGATGACGATGATGATGTCCATGGTGATGATGGTAATGATTTGTGGTTCGGATATTGATGCTTTTGCTGATGATGCTGCTGATTATGATGGATGTGAAAACGACGATGATGATGGATGATGATGATGACGATGCTGGTGGTCATGGTGATGAGGATGGGGTTGCTCTTCATGATGATGATAATACTGATGATAATGTTGATGATGATGATGATGATGATGATGATGATGATGATGATGATGATGATGCTGATGATGATGATGATGATGATGATGATGATGATGATGACTATGCTGATTTTGATGCGCCGGTGCTGATTTGTATGATGATGGTGGTGGTGGTGATGACGATGATGACGATGATGACGATGCTGATGGACAGTGATGATGGCGATGCTGTTGCTGCTGATGATGATGATGATGCTGGTGGTGATGATGTTGAGTCTGATGATTCTGATGATGCCGACGACGATGAATCTTATCATCATGATGAGATGATGCTGCTGATGATGACTCCAGCGCTGAGGACATGGGCCAGAACGCCAAGAAGCGCATATCATCGGAGATAGAGCTGCTCCAGAAGCTGAAGCACCCGAGGCCCTGGCGCGGCGCCCCCCCCCCCGCCAGGGGCGACGTGCTCCCTCACTTACGCTGCGAAGGCAACGGCGACGGGTCTCAGATCCGCGGACGCCTTGTGCGCACCGTACCGCGTTGGCGCCTCCCGAGGTTGCGTCGATCCTCGACCCTGAAGCGGTGCGGTGCATACGTTGTTCGGCACTCGAGGCCGAGAAGAATTGTGCCCTGTACCACTTTTGGGCGGGGCCTGAAGAGAGTCCAAACATGGTTCGGTGCATGGGCGCCCTTCTCGTACCGAGGGAGTGGGCTATCCCTCGTCGCCACGGCTGGGTCCGCCCCGAAATCCCGGTCAGAACGCGCCACCGGAGAGGGCGGTGGATGCAGGGCGACTTCGAGGGAAGCTCTTGGGAGGATCTCTCGCCGTGCACGGGCTCCAGACCGTCGAGGGGTTGGGGGGCTCCCCCGGCCCAACGGAAGCGGGCGCCTCGAGACGAAACTAGCTGGGCGTCGCGGAGCGCCCCAGGGCCCAGGGCCCGGTGCCCTCAGGACTCCCAGCCCTGGTGGCAGCCTTCTCTCCGGTGTCCGCCCCGGCTTCCCTTCTCGTCCGCCCCGAGGAGGGGGAGGGAGGAGGTGGAAGAGGAGGAAGAGGAGGAGGCCAACGTCCCCAGCTGCTCGCTCACAGGAAGAGAGCGCGAGAGCTGTTGGTGCCCCTCCACGGCGCATCAAGTGCTAAGTTGCTGATAGCAGCATGGAGGAGGTGGAGGAGGACGAGGGATGTGGGGATTGAAGGTGGTGGTGGTGGTGGTGGTGGTGGTGGTGGTGATGCTGACGATGCAGGCGGAGGAGGAGGAGGAGGAGGAGGAGGAGGACGAGGAGGAGGAGACGCACCGAGGAGCGGAGCAGGTTGACGAGGAGAAGGGGGCGTGGGGCCTCGAACGGAGACCCGCCGGCCGCATCAGGCTCATGGTCAGCCTACCTCGACGCAGCTGCAGAAGCCACAATACTATGTTTAAGTCGGGCGTGTCCCCCTACAGTTGGATTTTCGACGAAACATGAAAAACACACACACAAATACCACAAAAAGGGCAACAAATACTCAAACCATAGCCCCCAGACTATTTTTTTTGTTTTTTTGTTTATTTTTGGGGTATTTTTTGATTTTTCGTAGAAGTCCCTCTGTTGGGGGACATGCCCGACTTAACACCATGTGCAGGAGTCTCTGAAGCAACAGCCAGAGGAACGCCTGGCTACCCCGCCTGGGCTTACGTATGTTGTTCCCATCTTACTTCATGACCACATCCCAGAAATCAATTCGTGCACACGGAGAAGTGTCGAAACAGTGTCGAACTGGTGTCGAAACAGTGTCGAACGAGTGTCTCCCAGGGCCCGACACGCGACAACCTTCGAGTTTCGTTTTTTATGTTTTGTTTGGTGCTCGAAATGCTTCCTGGTGATCCAGACTAGAGTCGGCGGGAACATCATCAGCCTGGGCCTGTGGACCGCACGGGGCCCATGGTCAGCCCGTCTCGACGCAGCCAGCTGCAGAAGCCACAACACTATGTGCATGAGTCTCTGAAGCAACCGCCAGGAACGCTCGGGGGTGGACAGAACCCCCACCCCGACACGTCGACTCGTGAACTGTCCGTTTTCGGTTCTCGAGAGGGCGCCGCGGCCGTCATTCTCCAGGCATGCGCCCGCCAGGTTTTGCACCGGAGTTCGTTGTCACCAAACCACGTTTTACAAAGAGGGGGTCCTGCCCATGCGCGAAATGCTAGGCTGAAGTCGGGCCTGTCCCCCTACAGGAGGAGTCATCAAATATTGTCACCAAAATAGCCTGGGGACTATTTTTTGGGGTATCTTTGAGCATGTTCCGGGCATTGTTTTTTTTGTTTGTCGTCCAAAATCCCCCTGTAGGGGGACAGGCCCGACCTAAGCCTAGGTAGCCCGACCTAACGCTTGGCCACCCGCGCCCTTCGCCTCGCTCGCCCTGCAGCTGCCGAGCACGCGCCCCGGCGGCGGGGCACGGGCGGGAGGCGCCGGCCCGCGGAAGCACGGCGCGGGCGACGGAGGCGACGGGGACCTCTCGCGCCCACCCGCCGGGTGAGAGGGCGCCCTCTCCCCGCGTGCTGGGTAGTGCGGCCCCTCGCGACGGAGGCTCCCCCCTCGCTCCTCCTCCTCCTCCTCCTCCTCACTCCTTCCTCCTCTCCCCTCCTCCTCCTCTCCTCCTCCTTCCTCCTCCTCCTCCTCCTCCTCCCCTCCTCCCTCCTCCTCCTCTGCTCCCCCCCCCCATCCCCCCTCCAGGGGGGGGGGGGCCGCGGGCGTCGCGGGACGGAGGCCTGGACCTCGCGCCCCCCCCCTGTCAGAGGGCGCCCTTTCCCTCGCGTGCTGGGTCGTGCGGCCCCTCGCGCCAGGGCGCCCCCCATCGTCCCCCCCTCCTCCCCTCCCGCTCCTCCGCCGCCTCCTGCTCCCCCTCCTCTGCTCCTCCTCCTCCTCCTCCTCCTCCTCCTCCTCCTCCTCCTCCTCCTCCTCCTTCTTTTCCCCCATCCCCCTCCCAGGGGGGGAGGGGGCGCGGAGCTGGCGCGGGCGACGGAGGCGCCGGGCCCTCGCGCCCGCCGCCCTGTCAGAGGGCGCCCTCTCCATCGCGTGCTGGGTCGTGCGGCCCCTCGCGCCAGGGCGCCCCCCTCGTCCTCCCCTACAGTCGGGCCTGTCCCTCGACCATTTTGGAGTATGATTGGAGCATGTTTTATTGGTCGTCGAAAATGCCCCTGTAGGGGGACACGCCCGACTTAATCCTCCCCCTCCTCCCCCTCCCCCTCCTCCGCCGCCTCCTGCTCCTCCACCTCCTGCTCCTCCCTGCCTCCGCGCGGGTCCCCCTTCTCTTTCCCCATCCCCCCTCCCTCCCTCCCTATCCTTTTCCCCTCCTCCCCCCCCTCCCCTGCCGCCGCCTCGCAGAATAAGGCACCTGCGAACGCAAGCACGATCCAATTGTTTTGCGTTCCGACGGCGCGCCGAAGGTGCTTTCACAGCACCTTCGGCGCCGGCGAGTGACACGCTGGACCTGACGCTGGCCCCACGATTTTCGGGTCAGAACTCGGCGCTCTGGCGGCCGTTCGGGACGATCCGAAGACCCCGTAGAACGCTCCAGGCGAGTCGGCTGCTGGAGAGCATCCACTCCGCAGTCAGGAAGCTGCCGAGAACCGACGGTCGGGCGTGGCGTAGTGGGGGGCGAGAAGTGGGGGGAGGAGCAACGTACACCTTCTGTGCCCTGGAGGAGCCCTAAAGGGGCCCCCTGGGGCCCACAGTGGGCGCGAGAGGTGCACGCTGCTCCCCCCCCTCCTACCGATCGCCCCCGCCCCCCCCCCCCCCCGCCCCCCTTCCGCAGCGCCCGAGGCGGAGCCCTCGAGCCTCGACCTCCGACCCTTGAGCCTCGATTCCTCCCTCCTCCCTGGGGCGCGCTCGCCCGCCGCGCCGCGCGACCGCGCAGGATCATCGCCTTCATCAACGCCTGGGTGAAGAAGAAGGAGAACGAGGCCGCCGCCGGCCGTGGTGCCCGCCCGGGGGGCCGGGGGGCGGCCCGCTCCAGGGGCTCCCGCACCGCCGCCGTCGTCGTCGCCGTCGCCGTCGCCGTCGCCGTCGCCGTCGCCGTCGCCGTCGCCGTCGTCGCCGTCGCCGTCGCCGTCGTCGTCGTCGTCGTCGTCGTCGTCGTCGTCGCCGTCGCCGTCGCCGTCGCCGTCGCCGTCGCCGTCGTCGTCGTCGTCGTCGCCGTCGCCGTCTCGACTGGCTTCCAGGCCCCCCCCCTTCTCAAGAGAGAGAGGGAGGGAGAGAGAGGGGGCGCCGCCAGTCCGACGGCCCCTGGCCCGGGAGAGCGGGCTCGGGGCCAGGCACGCCCCGAGCCGGCAGCGCCCCTCCGCACGTCTTTTCGGGGGAGATTGACGGGCACCACCAGAAGTTGGAAGGGGGAGGGGGTGCTCCTCCTCCTCCTCCTCCTCCTCCTCCTCCTCCTCCTCCTCCTCTTCGTCCTCCTCCTCCTCCTCCTCGACCTCCTTCCCCCCTCCAACTTGTGGTGGTGATGGTGGTGGAGTCAGGCCCATCAGAGATGTTGCCCAACAGCGGCCGCTGTTAGTTTGGGACAACATTTGCTGTTGGGCATTGTACCCTTTTTTTCCGTACCCATTCTGGCCGTCCAAAACCTCACCGCACGGTCCGTCACCGCACGGTTTGGGGACCTTGGAAGCCCCTGTCGCCCGAGACGTCCTCGGAGGGGGACTCGAGTCCCAAAACCGTGCGGTGACCCCGAATCCCCACCGACTCACCGCACGGTGTGGTCACCACCCCGTTTGGGGGCTCCCGAGGGTTGCCATAGAGGAAGCGGGCCAGGAGGAAAATAGGCCCTGCACTCCAGGCTTTTTTTCCTCGCAGGGACTCTTCATCCTGAATCGGTTTTCGGCACTCCCACGGCCCGTGGAGGGCAGCCGGGAGCCCCGAAACTGCGAGAAACCTCAACACCCGTTTCCCTCATGACCCGCTTCCTTCGTGGCGAAGGGAAGGGGTCTAATGGGCAACCACATGTAAACCCCTGCCCTGCAGATGTGACCTCTGTAAACCCCGCTCGGGGGCCCCCGAACAAAAAAACCCTCCTGGAGCCCTCCGGGAGAGGAGCACGGCGCGGTGCGGTGCGGGGAGGGCGGGCCCGGAGGGCGCGTGCCAGCGGCGGGCTCGGCCGCCGCCCCCCCTGGCGCCCGCGGCGGCCGAGGGCTCCGCGGCGGCCGAGGGGGCTGCGGCGGCCGAGGCCGCCCCCCACGGGCTACACGGGCGGCGTGCGTCGGCCAGAGTGCAGGAGGGGGACAAAAGCACGCAGACACAATTTATTTTTTTCCCAACCATCCTGGTGTTGGGTCCTCGTTTTGAAGAAACGGTCCCCGCGTTCTCCCCTCCTCCTCCTCTGCCCCTCCTCCCTCCTCCCCCTCCGCGTCAGCCACACCCACTTCGGCGCACCCCTCACACGTTTCGTGGCCCCATAAGGAGCTCCACCGAGGGGGACAGAAGCTTTTTTGGTCGGCGGCTCCAAGGACAGATCCAGAGAGCGGGATTAACGTCTGGGGCACAGGGCGCGATAATTGGCTGCAGAGGCACGCAGGCCGCTGAAGCGAGTGCACGTGCCGGGGACAAGGTGACCCTCATTGTGTGGGACCGGCGCAAACATCCCAGTGGATGGGGATGCAAGCGCGGCACCGGCGGCGAGGGGGACAAAAGCACGCAGACACAATTTTGTTTGTTTGGTCTGCGGGGCGAGAGCGAACCTCTTCGGGGTAAGAGCTAGGCGGGCTACGCACAGCTCCAATTGGGGAGACAGTGCACAGGCGGGCGGGGCCTCAGGCGGCCGGAGGGCGAGCCGGGGTGCAGGCGGTGCCGAGGAGCTTGCACAGGCAAAGGAACGCCTTGGACAGGAGCCAGAGGCGAAGATCCGGAGGAACAGCGCACAGACACAAGTGATCGTCGATTCCCTAGAGCAAGTGGGAAGTTATGGGAGGTGGGGGGGAAGAGAAAGACCCAGAACATATATGGGGAGATGTGGGGAGTCCGGTCATTCGTGTGTGTTCATTGGTGTGTCCCAGGGCCCGTGCTGCCTGGACTCCCAGTTTGCCCGTGCCGCGTGCCCGCTTCGTCTTCGAAGGCAGACAAAAAAAGGTCTGGCCGCTGCTGACTGCTGGTCTCGTCGCTTGCGACGCCAGGATCTCCTCCTCCTCCTCCTCCTCCTCCTCCTCCTCCTCCTCCTCCTCCTCCTCCTCCCTCCTCCCTCCTCCCTCCTCCCTCCTCCCTCCTTGCCTCCTCCCTCCTCCCTCCTCCCCCCCCCCCCTCCTCCTCCTCCTCCTCCTCTTCCTCCTCCTCCTCCTCCTCCTCCTCCTCCTCCCTCCTCGGCGCTCCTTTGCTGCGCCCGCGTCGTTGGCCCTCCGAGCGGAACAACAGCGGCGCCAAAGTGGCAGGCTCTCCCAATCGGCTGCACGGGCGGCGTCCTTCGACCAGAATTCAGGAGGGGAAACAAGCACACAGACACAAGGAATCGTCGATTCCCTAGAACATATGGGAAACTATGGGAAGTGGGGGGGGAGACGAAAGCCCAGAAAACATGGGGACATCTGGGGAGTCCTGTCATTTGTGTGTATTCATTTGTGTGTCCCAGGGCCCCTTCAAAAATTCAAGCGACACCGCCCCACCTGCGGCCCTCCATGTTGCGCCACGGCCCATCGGGGGCCGTGGCGCATGCCACGCAGAACGCCGATGCCAGATGTCCTGGTGTACTGTAAGCCCCGTGGGGTCGTGACTTGGTGGGGTGGTGTCGTTTGTTCTCTGGTCCAGCTCTGGGCCGACGGAGCATCCCCCCCGGGCGGCCCGTGGCAGCGTGGCGATCCGTGCGAGGCCGAACGGCTCACGCGGCGCCGCGTGGTCGCTCTTGCGGAAGGCATCCCAGCAGTTGCTTCTCCACCCGGGGCCCCCCCAGGAGGTTTGGGAAGGTCCCCGGGAGCATCTGGAGACCTCCAGGAGCCCCTGGAGGCCTGGAACCGCCGACAGTGTCGACGAGCCGCGATGTTCGATGCCTGGTCCTCTCGGGGGCAACGTGGGTGGGGGGATGAACTCAGGGGGGGAAGCATCGACCCCCGATCGCCCATTGCCGATGAGGGCTCACTAGCCCGCCCCGCCCAGGAACGGAGGATGATGATGAAGAGGAGGAGGAGGAGGAGGAGGAGGAGGAGGAGGAGGAGGAGGAGGAGGAGGAGGAGGGGGACAGAGAGGAGGAGGAGGAGTAGGAGGAGAAGGATCAGGAGGGCGATAATGAGAATGATGAGGATCAGGATGATGACGAGGATGAGGAGGATAAGTATGGATGAAGATGAGGAGGACGACAGTGAGGCCTCATCTCAGACAGTCCCCCCATGTCGTTGCCCTCGTAAGATCAGGACCCGGTAATCAGAGGCGCAAGAGGTCATGACAATGACGGGGTAGATGGTGTTGCAGGATCGCGCTGTATCGCGGGCCGCCGATACATCGCCGATACATCGCCGATGCATCGTCGATGCATCGGCGACGTTTGCGATGCATCGGCGACGTCGGCGTGGAGGAAATCGGAGTGCACATCGAGCCGCATGGCCGATGCATCGGCGATGCGGGGCGATCTTCCGACCCCATCTACTCGGCTTCATCCGGGAGGCCTTTACGGATCCACCCCAGATCGCCCTTCCACCCCAGTAGGATCCCGTTCCCTCCACTCTCGCAGCCATACCTCTGGGGGAACGGGTGCGCAGGAACATGCGCCCTTCCCCCCCGTCCCGGTCTGGTATCCTTTGTGGACACTCGCTTGTTAGTGTGTTCTTTGTTTGCGTGCTTTTTCGCTCTCTCTCTCTTTGTCTCTCTCTCTCTCTCTTCCCATCTCCCTGTCTCCCTCGATTGTGTTATGCTTCTCTCGTGCCGCCGAGGTCTGCTTCATAACCGAGCACGTCACCGGAGGCTCGTTGGCCTCCTACATCCGACGAATACAGAAGCCCTTGAAGTACAAGGCGAGCGCCTACCTCCGCGTATAGGAGGAACATCTTGAGCATCCGTTCCCTGCCTCCGTTTCCGTCCTCAGTTCCACGCCCATCGGAGGGGGGGTCTTCTTCAGTGTTTGCAAACCCAGACAGAACTCGTAAGTGTCTAAGCCGAAGTCGTGGGGCTATTAGGTCTTACAGATGGGGGGGGGGGCTGAGCAGGTGCAGTAGTACTCGCAGTAGTTGTTGCATGGACGCAGTAGTTTGCGGTTAGGGCGCAAATGTTGCGCGCGGATGCAACTGTGCATTCTCTCAAAAGCCATAGCTTACCCCCTTGCAAAAGTTCGTGCCTCTTTGCAATATTTCGCGCAATAGTTTGCGCGAGCGAATTATTGCACCTCCCACCGCTCCCCCTTTCGGCGTTGCTCCCATCGCTCCAGTCTAAACAAATTATCTAATGGCCTTCGGCGCATCCCTTCACCATGCCTGGGTTGTGGGTCAGAGGCTTCGTGGAAGTTCGTTGGGAGCTCGTGGGAGGCCTCTCGGGTCTCCCTTGGAGGCAGTTTTGAGGCCTCTGGGATACCTTCTTGACCCCTCATGGGGTCTTTTGGGGGCCTTTAGGGCCTCTAGGGAGTCTCTCGGGCGCATCTTGTGGCCTCTCTTGGGGGCCTCTCGGGGCCTCCTGGTGCCCTCTTGAGGCGAATGGCTTGGATTGTCGGTTCGTGGCCCCCCTCTGAGACCTCTCTTGGGGCCATCTTTGGGCCCTCTTGGGCCGTCTTGGGGGCCTCTAGTGGGCCTCTTGTGCCGTGTTGGTGCCGCCTTGGGAATTTCTCGGGCCGTCGTGGATCGTCGCGAAGCCGAACAGGCGAGAAGATACAAGACCTTCCAAACGAATGGCACATCAATCATTTTGGCTTCTTGGGGCCCTCTTGTGTTCGGCCTCTTCGGGCTCTCTTGGGCCGCCTCGGGGGCCTCCTGGATCGCCTTGAGATGCCATCCTGGGCGTCTTTGGGCGATCGTTCGGCGGCTTGGGGTCCTCTGGACGTCTTGGGAAGGCCTTCTGCGGCCCTCTCTTGGCCACTCCAGTGGCCCTCTTTGGGCCGGAACGCGGCACGCAGGGGAGCCCCCTCCTGGGCCCTTTGGGGCACGCGTGACCAGCCCGCGAAGATCTGACACGTTGGGCTCCGGGCCCCCGAAGAACCCTTGGGACCGAGGGGTGAGGCTCGGGGGATGCGGCGCACTTGGCATCGCTCGGACGCGTGCCTTTTTTTTTTTTTTTCCCCCGGCGAGAGCCATCGAGGGCCCTCTTGGACCCTTCAGCAACAAAAAAACGCGCACGAAACCGACAAATGCACAGGAAATGGGCGTCCGAGCGATGGCACAGTCAGTCCTCCTCCTCCTCCTCCTCCTCCTCCTCCTCCTCCTCCTCGAACGCCTCCTCCTCCTCGAACGCCTCCTCGAACGCCTCCTCCGTGCCCCGCGGCACGGTTGGTGGAGTCTCCGCCGGGGGCGAGGCAGGGCTCTGCCGCAGGGGGCCTCGGGAGGCCTCGGGGCCCCGGTGGCCTCGTCGCGCATGCGTGCAGCGATCTTCGACGCCTCGGGGGCGGCATAGAGGGGGGTGATGACTACGGTGGGTTCGTGCCGTGTCGACCAGCGGCGACCCCGCCAGCGTCGTTCAACTTTGAACGCGCGGGCGACCCAGAATCGTTCGATGTGGAACGATTTTGTAGTTTCGGAAACGGCCGATCGTTCAAGGTTGAACGATTCCCGCGGTGTCAAAAACCATCGCCTGGGTCGACACGACGCAAACCTGCGGTAGGGGGGGTGGATATCATGGCGGGGGCCATGGTATTGCCCCAGATTTCATGGCGCCCCTTCTTGTTTCGTGACGTCCCTGGCCCCCCCCCCTGGGCCGCGCACCTGCCGCCGGCCATGGTTTGCACCCCCCCCTCTTGGACGCCCCCCTCTTGGCCGCCCCTGAACACCGTCGCACAGTGCCGTTTTTAATACATGCTCCGCGTGCGGATCATGCATTAAACATGCAGGGATTCAGTACTAAAAGCAACGATGAGTTCATGCATACATTCATTCATACATTAATCATGTTTTAAAATCCTATATATATATATATATATGTTTCAAAATCCTATGGATTGAAAACTGCCCTGTAGCCTTTTTTTCTCCCCGAATTCGCCTCTGCGAGGGGCGCTGCCCGTGGCGTGTGTCCCCCCCTCCCGGCGGCGCAGGGCGCCGGTGGAGACGGAGCACCGAGGCGAGAGGCCAGCGGTGCTCGGCCGGAGTGCTCTCACGCGGCAGGTGCGACCGCAGCGAGGCCGAGCCCCACCACCGCAGGGCCCATTCCCAGACATCGGGCGTCTCAAAAAATCGAGACAGAGGTGTTTCATAATTTTTGGCCTATCGGGGCCCTCGCCGGGCCTCGGGACCGTCAAAAAACGAGTCGGGATGAACAACTGGTCCCAGGGAAGTGGTCGGGAGGTCGGGGGCCCGCGTCTCGAAAAAATCGAGACGTCGGATGTCTGGGTTTCGACGGTATCGTTTCACCGATCCCCATCCCCATCCCCATCCCCGTCGAGACCCCCACCAAATTACCACCCCAGTTGGGGGTGCATCCCTCGAAACCCGAAGGGAACATCCAGGGGGGTACATGGGCCACTGGGGCCCAGGCCACGCCTCTGGGGATGGGGATCGGTTGAACGATACTCAACCACAGCAGGATCCACTTCGTCCGATCGATCCGCGTCGATGTCGGATTAGGCCGGCCCGATTCGTTTTGAGTTCGATGTTTCGACGATCCGAGGCAGCGCTGATGCTTGCACGGTGCCGTCGTGCACTCTGGCGCAGCCGATCCGATTCGATTCCGACTCCGTGCTCATGCAGTCCGATCTGGCGAAGATCTCGACTCGATGCGATTTCCCGATGCGATGCTGACTGATCTCTCGGGCGCTGACTGCGTTCGCGGCTCTGCCACCCGAATCGTTGCACAGCAGTGGCCGAACGAGGGCCCCGAGCCCAAGCCTGCAGGGCCCCGAGGCCCTCCCGAGGCAGCTCGTGGGGGCCGCAAGGAGGCCGAGAGGCCGCGGAGATCTCGCGGCATCCGGAGGCCCGTTAGGACGATGGATCACGGCTTCCTCCTCCTCCTCCTCCTCCTCCTCCTCCTCCTCCTCCTCCTCGTACACCACCTGTCCGGCCCCGCCGCCCCGGCCAACTGCCAGGGGGAAGGGGGGGTTTGAATCGGCGAGCGCGGGCAAGGACGCCTGACGATTTGGGGGGGACACCCCAGAGGGGGGAAGAGGGGGAGGAGGAGCGGAGAGGAGCCGGAAGGCGGGGGAAGCGGGTGCGAGGCCGTGGGACCTGAGCCACTGACCCCCACCGTTAGGCGCGCGCGCGCGCCCGCCTGGGGAGGCAAGGAGCGGGAGCAAAGAAGGAAAGGGGGGGGGGGGAAAGGGAGGGAGGAACACACGCCGAGCAAAACAATATCTATGGCCGGGCAGGAGGGGCACCTGGAGGCCCAAGACAGATATGGAGGCGTTCAGAGTCTTGGCCGTCGAGGTTCGCGCCCGATCCCAGAGCCGCGAGAGCGGGCGCCGCGGCGCAGGTGATGCGGACGTGGTGCCGGCAGATCCTGGAGGGCCTCGTCTTCCTCCACACCCACACCCCCGAGCCCGTGATCCACCGCGACCTCAAGTGCGCCGCCGGCAGGGGGGGGCAGGAGGGGGAGGGTCGGATATAGCCAGGAACCTTGGTAAGGGGGCCCAGTTAGGAGTAGGGCCCTGGAGCCCTCAATTCTACCAGAATCACTAAACCATGTCTGCCGTAGCTGGTGCTGTTCGGGTGGCGGCAGTCCCGGTTGGTGGAACGGGGCGAGGGGGCGTCCCCCGGCACACATCATGAAACCAGGTTTCACCAGACCCAGTTCTGTCAACGCCCGAGAGGGGGGGGGGGAGGAGGAGGAGGAGGAGGAGGAGGAGGAGGAGGAGGAGGAGGAGGAGGAGGAGGAGGAGGAGGAGGAGGAGGAGGGGGAGGTTCGGGATGCCTGGAGAGGTTTGGGGTGCTCTTTTTTCTTGGGGGCTCGGCCTCTATAGAAGGCTCCTCGTCGTCACGGCCGGACTCCGTCGGAGCTCCGGCCAGAACGCACCCCGGGAGAGTTCTGGGGGAGTCGGGGGAGAACAAACCTACCTCGCTTTTGACCACCCTCGCTTCCAAGAGATACCAAACGATGCCAAATTGCGGCCTGTACTGGTCAGGCCGCTTAACGAGGAGGCGCGTGTTGTGGCTTGGTTTTGCCTGGAAGCGAAAGCGGGGGAGGTAATTCACGCTCTAAGGGAGGAAGGATCGGATCCTAGGTCACCCGCGGGGGGGGGGGGGCGAGATAATTGCGCCTTGCGCCGATCTGGGCCAAAGTGATGACGTACTCTTCTCTCCAAGGAGGCGGCGCGAGGCCGCGAAGGTCACCGCGCGGCGCGCCTCGCTCGGGGCGCGGTGCGCGCAGAGTCGGGTGCCCCAGGTGTCCTCGGGATGCTCGGGGGGCCTCCGGAGACCTCGCGAGCTCGAGGAGGAGAAGTCACCCGACGTCGTGATGCTCTCAGCCTTTAATTCTGTGAAGTCGGGCCTGTCCCTCTACAGGGGGAATATTCAAAATAGCTAAAACATAGCATGGGGACTGACTGCTTTTTGGAGTATTTTTGGGCATCTTTGGAGTTTTTTTTTTTTTTTTTTTGTTTTTTTTATGGTTTCGTTCAGAATTCAGCCACGCGCAGAGGGGGGTGGGGGGAGGGGGGAGGGGGGAGGGCTTCTAAGAAGCACCCCTGCTTCTTAGAAGGCGCGGGCCTATGTATAGATGTAAGGCCGGCGCCTTCTACGAAACAGACTCCTTCTAAGAAGCCCTCCCACCTCCCTCCACCCCCTTGTGCGCGCCGCCAAAAAATCCCCCTGCGGGGGGGCACGCCCGACGTAGCCCTTATGTTGTGTTGCTCTTGCCAGGTTCGGTCCCTGGAGGTCCGTCTCGGGCCCCAGGCCCCTGGAGACCCCGGGGATGCCTTCGGAAGCCTTCGGGGGCCCAATCAGGGCCGAACACGGTCTACACTCTAGGCGATGCTTAAGAAAACCCAAGTTTTCGGCCAGAGTCTCGATTATTCTTAATGTTTCAATGTAGATCCTAAGATTTGAATAGACATTCTGGGTTTTTATTCGAATTCTGAGACTATGAATTTCTGAACCCATGATTTCTAAAGCATTTCGCAGGGTGTATGGAAACCGCCCGCGTCGAATCGCCGCCGCCCCCTGCCTTTTGGGGCCGCCCATGTGGCCGAGCGTTGTGGCGAGCGTTCTGCCAACCTATCGGACCATTGTGTTCCCCCACCCGGTGTGGGAGCCCTTCAGGGAACACTCGGGGGGCGATGGCGGGAAAGATCAGGAGGAGGAGGAGGAGGAGGAGGAGGAGGAGGAGGAGGAGGAGGAGGAGGGAGCATCTTGGGAGCCGCTGGTGGCACTCTTGGAGCCTTCTGGGAGCTTCCAGGGGAGCCTCTTGGAGGCATCTTCGGGACCTCCTTAGGCTTCTTGGGGGCTTTTGGGGGCTTCTCGGGGGCCTCTTTGGCAGTCTTCGGGAATTCCTGGCCCGTCTGACGCCATAGGATACTGTCTTGGGGGCCTCTCTGGGCCGACTTGGCGCCCTCTTGGGGTGCTCCAGGACCGTCTTGGAGGCCATCGTGGGCGTCTTGGAGGCCTCTTGGGCTGTCTTGGGGCCCTCTTGGGGCCGTGCTGGGGGCCTCTTGGGCCATTCTGGGGCCATCTTGAAGACCTCTTGGGCGAGCTTGGGGCGATCTTTGGGGGCTCTTGGTCCGTCGGATGGCCGTCGGAAGGCAGTCGGAAGGCCGGAGAGACACAAATGCCCAAAACCTTCCAAAACCTAAGGTGGTTTTGGCCTCTTCGGGCCTTCCTGGAAGCTCTCTGTGAGGCATCTCGGGCCATCTCGGAGACCTCTTGGGCCGTCTACGTGGCCTCCTGGCCCGTCTGACGCGGTCGGAAGCCGTCTTGGGGGCTTCTCTGGGCGACTTGGGGCGATCTTTTGGGGCTCTTGGGCCGTCTCTGGCCGTCGGAAGGCCGAACAGAAGCACATGCTAAATTCATTAAGTAACCTATGGAAGATCCATGATTTTGGCTTCTTCGGGCCTTCCTGGAGGCCCTTCGGAAGGCGTCTTGGTGGCCTCTTGGGCCGTTTGGGGCCATCTTGGAGCCATCTTGGGCCGTCTTGATGGCCTCCTCGCTTGTCTGAAGCCTTCGGATACCGTCTTGGGGTCGTCTCCGGCCGACTTGGGGCCTTCTTGGAGGCTCCAGGGCTGTCTTGGAGGCCATCTTGGGCGTCTTGGAGGCCTCTTGGGCCTTCTTGGGGTTCTCTTGGGGCCGTCTTGGGGGCGTCTTGGGCCGTTCTGGGGTCATCTTGAAGACCTCTTGGGCGAGCTTGGGGCGATCTTTGGGGGCTCTTGGGCCGTCGGGAGGCCGTCGGAGGGCCGAAAAGAAGCACGTGCCCAAATCCTTCAAACACCTTAGGAACATCCACGGTTTTGGCCTTTTCGGCCTTCCTGGAGGCCCTCTCGGAGACCTCTTGGGCCGTCTTGGAGGCCTCTTGGGGGCCTCTTGGCCCGTCTCTTGGGTCGACCTGGAGGCTTCTTGGGCGGACTCGGACGCATCTTGGAGCCATCTTGGGCCGTATTGGTGGCTTTTTGGGCGATCTTAAAGACATTCAGGACCTTCTTGTGCCATCTTGGAGGCCGTCTTGGTGGCCTCCTCGCCCGTCTGACGCTGCCGGACGCATTCTTGGGGGCCTCTCTGGCCCGACTTGGCGCCCTCTTCGGGTGCTCCAGGGCCGTCTTAGGAGGCCATCTTAGGCGTCTTAGAGGCCTCTTGGGCCCTCTTGGGGCCGTGTTGGGGGGCTCTTGGGCCTTTCTGGGGTCATCTTGAAGACCTCTTGGGCGAGCTTGGGGCGATCTTTGGGGGCTCTTGGGCCGTCGGAAGGCCGTCGGAAGGCCGAATAGAGACACATACCCTGATTTTTTAACACCCTCTTGGAGGCCTCTTGGGCCGTTTTGGAGGCCTCTTGGGGGCCTCTTGGACCGTTTGGGGCCATCTTGGAGCCATCTTGGGCCGTCATGGAGGCTTCTTGAGCGGAATCGGACGCATCCTGGAGCCATCTTGGGCCGTATTGGTGGCTTCTTCGGCGGACTTGGAGGCAATTTGGACCATCTTGGGTCATCTGAGGGGCCGTCTTGGGCATACTTTGACAATTTCAGAAGTGGTTTTGAGCCGTCTTGGAGGTTTTTTGTGGACATTGTGCTCGTTTTGGGGCCTTTCGGATGGCCGGCGGGACGGGCCGAAGCCACAGGGTTTTTTGGGGAACATAACCAACACCACATCGTACGACGTCCAGCACGCCGAGCACCCTTATGGCAAGCCAAGCCAACAATGGCTAATGGCCTTCGGCCAATCCCGTCACCGTGCCTGTGTTGTGGGAATGGAACCTCTTGGATGTTTGCTGGGATCTCGTGGGATGCTTGTCGGGGGCCTATTGGAGGCAGTTTGGACTCCTCTTGGGTCGTTTTGGGGACTCTTCGGGCCTCTTTTGGACCTCCTAGGGGCCTCTTGGGGCCTCCTGGGTGTCTCTCGGGGCCCAGAAGCCTCTTGGGTCGGAAGGCTCGGAATTTCGTTTCGTGTTCTCTCTTGGGCACCTTTTTGGGGCCGTCTTGCAGCCCTCTTGGGCCGTTCGGGGCGCCTCTTGGGTTGTCTTGAGGCCCTCTTGGGCTGTTTGGGTGCCCTCTTGGAGGCCTCTTGGGCCGTCTTGGGGCGGTCTTGAGGGCTTCTAGGGCGGTCTGGGAGCGTCGGGAAGCCGAGAACGAGAACGCCAAAATCGCCCAAAAACGTAAGGACAATCAATGATGTTAGCCTATTGGGGCCCTCTTGGGGCCCTCTTGGGGGGCCTCGTAAGGGCCTCTTTGGGCGTCTTGGAGGCCTCCAGGGCCGGCCGGGGCCATCTTGAGCTTCCTGAGGGGATCGTTCGGCTACTCGGAAGCCTCTTTGGGCCGTCTCCGGGGAGCCCGGGGGAGCCACGGGAAGCCCCGAGTGATTTGACCATTGGGGCGCCCGGGCCCCGACCGACATCTCAGGGCTGAGGACTGAGGCCGTGGGGACTGAGCAAAGGACCTGAGGACACGCCCCCTCCGTGCCCAAAGGAACGGTGGCGGGTCGAAAGCAGGGCCCCATTCCCTGACCTTCCCGGGGGGCTAGCCAGTAACACCAGGACCTGCGGCTTTTTTTAGATCCCAGTGGAGGGGCTCCAAGCAGCCCGGATAGGTCTACAGGTCTGGAGAGCCATGTTGTGAGCACTGTGGATGGTCAGGGGATGTGCGGCCTCCAGCGCAGTAACCGCATCGTGTTTTTGAGAGGCGCGCTGGGGTGCAGCATGGTCTGTGAGGGGGGGCTCTGAGGCGCCCATGGCGCCACCGCTCAGGTGCGACAACATCTTCATCAACGGCAGCATCGGCGAGGCCGGCCGGGCCCGACAGAACGGACCATTCACCAATCGACGACTGCAGAGGGTGTGATTTCGCTGGGTTGTGGTTTGCGATCTGCGTCGGTGGGGCTTGGGAGGCACCACGATGTCCTCGTCGGGTCTCCTCGGGGCGCGGCGGAGAACTCTGTCAATGTCCTCGCTCGCCCCCCAGGATGCGGGTCACACACCGCACCTGTTGCAAACCACAACCTTCGTCGTCGCCGAAGCATGGAGGAATCCAATCTGATGTTTTGTCAAGTCTTCCTGCGAGCGGGGTAAAGGCTTATCGGTAGGTGGCCTGTAAGAGGCCTACCAATAGGCTGCACAGCGACCTACGACAGGCCTTTCGGTAAGCGTTGCGCAGGCCTATGGTTTGCCTATCATGGGCTTGCCGTAGCCCTATGTAGTGGCTTACACATCGGGTGCCCGTCTGTCTATGTTGAGCCTGGAGAAGGCGTGTGCATACAACCAGTAACCCCAGTGTAGCTCTTGCGCAGCTGGTGCGTGGGCGTGTCGCAGGCTTGTGCGTAGCCCATGCACATACCAATGATAAGCGTCTGCGCAGCCAGCGTATAGCCCTATAATGCAGCTGCAGGGCGGCTGTGGCACGGCTTCCGGAAGGGGCGCAGAGGGTCTGCAGTCGAGATCGAATAGTAGATCGACCTTGCCAAATCAAGGGTACCCTGATGTCCTGTGTTTTGCGACCAATGTCTTCTCCATTCTGATGGCAATGTGGCCTTCGGATGGGTCTCGTGTCCTCTCGCGCGTCCTCTCCAATCAAACTCGACTGTACCACGGAGACTCAGCCCCCCTGTAGGTCCACCAGGGGCCTACCACAGGCCTGTGCGTGGCCTATGCGTAGGCCCATGGTAGATCTATTCGCAGGCTGCGCGTAGGGCAAAGGCGTGGCACCAGCTTCTCGTTCGGCTCTCTGGAGGCCCACCACAGATGTGTGACCTGTGCACAGCCTATGCACACGCCTGTACTAGGTATGTGCGCAGGCTGTGCATAGGCATATCGCGGGGCGTCGGCCCACCCGCAGGCTCACCAGATGCCCACCACAGGTGTCCTAAGGCTCACCGTAGGCCTGACCAGAGGCTCTCCAGATGGCGACCACAGGCCTATGGTATGTCTATGTGCAGGTTATTTATTGTTTGGGCTTATCGCGAGGTGTAAGACCCTCCATAGGCTCTCCAGACCCCAGGCCTATGCTTAGCCAATGCCCAAGCCTAAGACAGGACTATGCGCAGGCTGTGCATGGGCCGATCGAGGGGCGACTCCCCCATAGGCCTATCAGAGGCCTGCCACAGGTCTGCGCGTCACTTTGCACAGGCCTCTGATAGGCCTACTGCGCAGGCTGTGCATAGGCCTGTTGCGAGGCGCTGGCCCTTCTGTGGGACCACCAGAAGCCCACCACAGGCCTGTGCGCAGCCTATGCACAGCCCTATAATTTGTCTATGCGCGGGCTGCCGTTAGGCCCATGCGAAGCGCGGGCACCCCTACAGGTCCACCATGAAGCTACCACAGGTCTCTCCGCAGCCTAAGCGTAGACCTATGGTTTGTCTATGCGCAGGCTGTGCATAGGCCCATGGCGAGGCGCCAGCTTCCCGATATGCTCATTGGAGGCCCGTCACAACCTGTGCACAGCCTAATCTCAGGCCTGTGGTATGTCTATGGACAGACAGTGCTGTGCATAGGCTTGTATCTATTGGGCTGTGTCTATGCGCGTATGCCTATTGTATGCTTGTGCGTAGGCTGTAGTGGGCCCTAGGGTGCAGGGGCCAGCAAGCCCTGCAACAGGCCTGCAGCAAGCCTGCCGGTAGGCCTGTCATAGGCCAATCGGCAGTCTATGCATTGGCCTGCCGCAGGCCGAGCCATAGGCTAAGCATCGGCTTGTAGTGGCCCTGTGCGCAGACGGCAGCAGAGCCTTCATAGGGGCCCACGCATAGGCTACGCGTAGGTCTACCGTATGCCTCTAGGCAATGCGCAGATCTCCTTGAGGCTTTTGGGCAGACGATGTGCAGACCTACAAGACCATGTGCTAGGCTGTGCACAGGCATTCGTCGGGATTGCTCACTGGACCAGAGCCCTGGAAAAGCCACACTCAACATTCGGGGGCGGCTAAGAAGGGGGGCGATGGCTAGGGGCGTGTGAATAGCATGGCTGGGGCCATGACATCTTGCCGGATATCATGGCCACTCTTCATATTTTAACGTGTCCCTTGGTCCCCACCTCGTCCGCGCACATGCCTCTGCCCATGATTTGCGACCCCCCCCTCTTGGACGCCCAATCTTGGCTGCCCCTGAAACAGAACGAGCCCGAAGGGAAACGTGCCCTGAGTTTTTCTGTGCCATTGGCCTCCTCGGGGCCCCTCTGGGGCCCCAGGATCTCCAACGAGACGGCTCAGGATGGAGCGCTGGTACTTCAGGCAGCCCCGAGGGTCCAGTAGCCGTTTCTTCCAACGGCCTGGAGAGATTTCCGGGGATTTCCGATCGCGAGACCTCCAGAGCACTGTGCTCGGCGAAGAGGTCGGCCGTGCGCGAGGAGTTAGCAAGATACCGCCGTGAGACTGAGCCGAGCCACCTTGCCCATGGTTCCCCCCTCCTTCCCCCCCTCCTCCCTCCCTCAATTATTTTACCTGTTGTTTTTGTTCAGCTTCAGGATCATACGCTGTAAGCGAGTCTGAAGGGAAACTCCTGGCCCCACCTACGGATACGTCTGGTGGTGCGACAGGGGGAGAGTTATCCGTAGGGGCTTCGCCCCCTGCCGCCGGCTCCCTCTCGATCATAATGAGAGATAACAGAGTCGCGTCGGTGCGTCTTGGCGCTGCCTTGGCGCATGTGGGAACAGCATGCGGGGGCGGATAGGAGTCATCAGCACATATTGAAACATTGGCTTTATCAAAGACACATACTGCGAATCACCGCCGCCCCCTGAGCTTGGCCAAGCTATCGGGCCAGTTGTTCCCCGAGTCGGTTTGGAAAGACTTCGTGGAACGCGTTGGGGAGCCAGAAGAGGAGGAGGGGGAGGATGTGGAACAAGAGGAGGAGGAGGAGAAGGAGGAGGAGGAGGAGGAGGAGGAGGAGGAGGAGGAGGAGGAGGCCCTGGGGCGCCTCTTGGGGCACTCTTGGGGCCTCCTGGGAGCTTCCTGGGGGCCACTTGGACGGTTTTTGGGGGCCTTTGGGGGCTGTTTGGCCGTCTTAGGGCGTTCCTGGCTTCTTTGACGCCGTCGGAAGCCGTCTTGGGGGCCTGTCTGGATCGTCTTGGGGCCCTCTTGGGGCATATCAGGGGTTCTCATAGGCCATCTTCGGTGTCTTGGAGGCCCCTTGGGCCGTTTTGAGGCCCTCTTGGGGCCGTCTTGGGGGCCTTTTGGGCCGTCATGGGGCCATCTTGGAGGCCTCTTGGGCGATTTTGGGGGCCTCTTGCGCAGTCTTGAGCCGTCGGAATGCCGAGAAGAAGCAAATGCCAAAATCTGTCAAACACCGGAGGCAAATCAATGATTTTGGCTTCTTCGGACCCTCCTGGAGGACCTCTTGGAGGCCTCTGGGGCTGTCTTGAAGGCCTCTTGGGGACCTCTTGGGCCGTCTTGGACCATCTTGAGGCCTTTTTGCAGCCATCTTAGGCCGTCTTGGGTGCATCTTGGACCGTCTTGTAGGCATCTTGGGGACATCTTAGCCGTCTTAGAGGCCATTTTGGCCGTCTTGGAGGCCTCGTGGGCTGTCTGGGGGCCCTCTTGGGGGCATCTTGGGGGCCTCTTGGGCAGTCATGCTTCGGAGCCGTCTTGGAGGCCATCTTGGGCGTCTTGGAGGCCATCTTGGGCGTGTGTAAGGCCTCTTGGGCCGTCTGGGGGCCCTCTTGGGGCCGTTTTCGGTGCCATCTTGGAGGCCTCTTGGGCGATCTTGGGGCGATCTTGGGGACCTCTTGGGCCGTCTCGGGCCGTCGGAAAGCCAAGAAGGTGCAAACGCCGCAATCTTTTAACAACCAAAGGAAAATCAATGATTGTGGCCTCTTCGGGCCCTCCTGGAGGACCTCTTGGAGGCCTCTTGGGCCGTCTTGGAGGCCTCTGGGGGCCTCTAGGGCCGTCTTGGGCCAGCTTGAGGCCATCTTAGGCCGTCTTGGCTGCATCTTGGGCCGTCTTGGAGGCATCGTGGGGCCATCTTAGCCGTCTTGGAGGCCATCTTGGCCGTCTTGGAAGCATCTTAGAAGCCATCTTGGAGCCGTCTGGGGCAGGATAACCCACGGCAACCACCTCCGGAAGAGCCTCTCGGGACCCCGGCGGGACGCGCCGAATGCCCAGGGGGAGTTCTTTTGGAAAAAGAACCAGAACCAAAATTGAGATGGGCTAGCACGCCAGGCACCCCTGTGATTAATCAACAGGGGGCGGCGGATCGAAGACGCCTACGGCGAATCACCGCCGCCCCCTGCCTTTTTGGAAGCGCCTATGTGGCCGAACGTTGAGGCCAGACCTGCCAAGCTATCGGACCATGTGTTCCCCGAATCGGTTTGGAAAGCCTTCGGGGAACACGTGGGCATCTTGAAGGTCATCTTGGCCGCCTGGAGGCCATTTTGACCCTTTTGGGTCTTCTTGGAGGACGTCTTGGAGGGCTCGTGGGCCGTCTTGGAGGCCATCTTGAGCGTCTTGGAGGCCTCTTGGGCCGAATTGGGGGCCTCTTGGGGCCGTCTTGGGCGCCTCTTGGGCCGTTCTGGGGCCATCTTGGAGGCCTCTTGGGCGATCCTTGGGCGATCTTTGGGAGCTCTTGGGACGTATCGGGCCGTCGGAAGGCCGAAACGAAGCAAATGTCAAAATCCTTCAAACACCTGCGGAACATAACTCTTTTTGGACTTTTCTGGCCTTGCTGGGGGCCCTCTTGGAGGCCTCCTGGGCCGTCTTGGGCCAGCTGCGAGCCACCTTCGGCCATCTTGGGGGCCTCTTGGCCCGTCTGACGCTGTCGGAAGCCGTTTGGGGGGCCTCTATGGGCCGACTTGGGGTCCTCT